TTAATGAAAAAAATATACAAACATACAGTTGGAGCTAATATAAAGCGTGTAATGATAACAAATAGAATTGAAAATCTAAATGAATAGCTGAAAATAGCAATTAAATTAAGCAAAAATCATGAAATGAAATAACAATGAAGTAAAAATTGAGCAGAAAATTGAACAATTGAAATGATATAAAAATCGAAAATTTCAAGCCAAGTTACTTCACATTTCGATTGTTAGTATTAACAATCATCCAGACACAACTGTGGATATTAACAATCGTAACTTCTTGGAGTAACTTGGGTTGAAATCTTTTGATTTTTATCTCCTTTTTCATTTATATCTTCAATTTTATTTGTTCTTCCAGAGATTTCAAATCAAATTATATCACATAAGACAATGGGAGTCCGAATTAATGAATTTGAAAATATATCTTATAAGAGCTCTAAGTTTATTGAATACGATTTTGTTCTTCAAGGAGAAGTGGAGTTTCAGACTGTTGATGCTTGATACTTTCTATTGCTGCCTTTCAACGTTCGTTATTGACAGTGATGTGAAATTGATGATTTTTCACTAGGTTGATATTTGCAAATTAGATTATGATCTGGGCAAACAATTAAATTTACGTCTTATCCCAAGATCAAATGAACATCATTCAGTAAATTGATTTCTATGGGCTTTTCATAAGTCCATTTCTCTCAATTCATATTAGTGGCCCTCGAGGAAGGTTGAAGTACTTCAGAATTATAGGTGAATCACCGCACCAATTGATAAGTTGTCCCTGATTGTGATGAGAGTAGTGTGAAGACCTGGATCACAGAATGTTTTGGTTGCATTGTTGATTCTCCGCTTCTCATCCTACACCAATGATTCCAGCATGGTTGTGTGAAAGTACCCTCTGTGAGGTAGCTTTCATAAATGTCTGTCAGATATTATCGAATAACCATCGTGGTATTAACCAGAAAAATAGTTGTTTTTGGCAGGCATTCAATAGATCCTTCTGTAATAATATTTTCTCAATACTTGAAAATTCCCCACGTGAGTAGATGATTCTGGAATTGAACTTAATCAGCTCATATAGTTTTTAGACTTTTTTGATATCTAAATGAAAGTGATGTTGATTATATCTGAATTATCATCAAGTTTAAATATTCAAGAGTCTCTCCCTCATAGACAGACAAAAATTAGAATTTCACTTAGAATTATTTCAGATAACTTCAGATTGGTCATTTCGCGAATTTGAAACTGTCATTTGATATATCCGAGATGGTGCTATAGTTTTGTAAACTGTTCTATGAAAAGCATAGGGAAATTGAAAAAGCTGTGGATCAAAATGGAAAATTTGATCTGTTACGATTCAGTTCATAGTTCTCAAACGCATTTATAATGGTATCTTATCATTATTTTTCATGAATGAACTAATGTGTGTCGAAGACCTATTTAAAAGCAGCACAAGGTCGTTATGAGATTGGAACAGTTTCATATTTGTAATCGTATCAAAGATGATAAAGAAATATGCAACAATAAACGTAAACATTGGTGAAATATGACAGTCAAAAATATATCTTAAATATAAATTTTGAAAATTATACTGGTCGGGTATAGGTTACAAGGAAATGGATGAGTTATAAGTTATGAGTTCAATGATACGAGGACCAAAAAATGAGAATAGGTTAGGTTAGGTTAGTGACTTTTTATGTCGAAACTTGACATCGGAGCACACCGGCAATGAGATGTTTATTCCATATATTCAACATTTAAAGGGGGATGTTTCATACACACTTACTCTCATGAATTTTATATTCAAGAAACATTTCACGAGATTTCCACTCCAGTATAAACACACCTGAAAAAGCTATTATATATTATATAGAACTATGTCGTGAAAATCTCCTAATGAAATTATTTTTGAATACGTTATGAATTTCCCTCAAGTATCGGCCGATATCATAAAATATCTAGGTGTAGCTTCTCAAATCTGAGAAGCGACTTTAAAGTCACCGCTTAGGACCTACCCTAAGATGCGCGTTAGTTAGGAGACTGTGTGTGTGTGTGAGAGAGAGAGAGAGAGGTAGTATCTTCAAGTAATTTCCTGGTTCTGACGAGCTGTATTTCGATTTGGTTCCAAAACAAAAACCAAAAAAGCATCAAAACTTTTGCGTTTTTAAGTTTTTCTTGTTATTCTGAAATGAGGTGAGGTACTTTTTAACAAAAACTCATAGTGAGAGATAAATATTTCGGTAATTGCAGACACTGATTATGAAAAAAAATTGATTTTCTCATATTTTTCAGAATAAATCAAAAAGTGGGACTTTTGTTTCGCTCCACTAATTTGAATTGTCTAAAAAAACGTCACAATGTTGTAAATACCTACTATTGACACCATTTTTTATGCTTTCTCGGAGACGTCTGACTTTTCATAAGTCTCCGTGAAATAATGCAGCCTCATGAACTCATTCGTTTTCTACTAGTCTCCACAGGTTGGAGAATGTCATTATTCGGAACATAATTTGGGTTGATAATAAACTGTTTGCCTCTTGTGATCCAAAATCTCAGATTCTTATGGAATATAACGAGCTGTTTCTGCTCTTCTGTTGCATTGTCTGCAGTTCAGTTTTCTTTAGTCTAGTGAGTAATCCTGTAATTGTTCTGAGCTGCTTCGTTGTGAAAGTTATTTGGTTGCCTTCTTGAACGGATCTTCTATGTAGGTTTTCCTTGATATGTTTTCCCATTACCCTTTATGATTTTTATAAGTCCAGTCTTCAATCTGATTCCGTATCAATAATTTTGGTACCCACACAGTTGGTTCTTGGATACACCTTACGCATATGGAGTTGAGGATACGTGTCCGGTACACTCGTCAGCTTCTTTGTTTCCCATAACACCTGAGTGTCCTGTCAGAATAGTGCATCTATTTCTGTCAGCCAGCTTCCTTAGTTCTTCACGCCAGTGAGTGCCTCAAGTATAACCTGACTGTCTAATTTCGTTGGGGCTAAATTTCGACCATTTATGAAGAGCCAAGTCGTTGAAACGGTGGTTGATGGAGCAACAACCCAATCAAGCATCGACAGGAAACTCAAAGAGTATGAAGAAATCACTTGAAGATTATGGAAGAAGAAGTATAACATGACAAATTGCAACACATTCGGCCCTTTATCGTATTTGAAAAGTAAGCAAATAAACTCTTACCAGTATTTTGCAGACTTTTCAACCTGTCTTATGAAAAAAGCTTTTTTTTATATCGGAAGATTGCTCGCGTTCAGCTCATTCCCAAAAAGGGCAAGAAAAATCTTCCAAATAACTATAAAGGAATTATGAGGATCTGGAAATTCCATGCCACAAAAACCCAGGCATCGGTTATCTCTAAAAAGATAAATGTACTCGAACCGTATATAATGATGTCAGGACAGACAATTCCGCTTTCTGCTTTGATTAGTTTGTTGGGAGTCAAAATTGCCACTGCTTCTCAAAAGCTTGAAACACTATTCCGAACCAGAAAACTGTACACACCTCAGCAATTTTTTTTTTCATTTAGAAAAAACTGCATCAGCCGTAGGTAGCTATTAGCGGCAAACATATAAAATATATCTAAAACATGCATTTGTTTACCTTACAGTTTGAATAAAAGGTTACATTCTTCAAGAAATTCAACAATATTGGTATTGGTATTTTGGAAAATGTCACTTAGTTTGGAGGGAATTTTATTGTTCAGTCTCTCAACTGTGACGAGCGGGCACTCTACCAAAACATGCTTAACAGTCACGAGCACTTCACACGCGAAACATTTTGGTGGCGGTTCTTTCCTAAATAGATGTTCATGCGTAAGGCAAGTGTGGCCCAGTCGTAATCTTGTAATTATGACTTGATGAAAGCAGTTTGTTGCTTTGTTCTCAGCAACTTTTGTTGATTTATTAAGCTCAGATCAGACCTTTTTTTGAAGTATTGTTTTCATGTATGAGAATCGAGCAGCTTAAGCTGAAGCTGCTCGATTCCATCCAGAAAAGAGCCATTCGCCTGATTATAATTTCGATAGTCTGGAACATCAGAAAAAAAGTTGGAGATTTGTCTCCCTTTCACAGATACTCCCACGAGTGGTGTTCAAATGAATCAGCACACATTCGATTCCACCAAGAGCGGTACATATCAGAAAAACGCGACGGGCTGTGGCTGCTCATTATTTCGAGGTTCAACTCAGTACACCTCGAACTTCAGTGTTCAAGAACTTTTTCATTTGCAGAATTGCGTTAATGTGGAATAAACTTTCTGAGAACGTTTTTCCAAATGGATTTAATCTTCAGCGATTCAAATCTAATGTAAACCGCTGCTTTTGTACAGGCACCGATCTCAGAGTTTCTTAAGGATTTTTCTGTAGTACTCGTGTTTTTTACTAATGAAAAAACGAAACATCGTCTCCAAGAGTTGAGTCTACCATATACCATATATTACCTCCAACCATATATTACCCAACCAACAGGGACAAACAGTGGTTCAATATCATCATTTCGAAGGAGCTACAGTGTCAACCCAGTGTATAAATTAAAAATCAATAAATATCTTCAATCACGCAGTAAAGCGAGTTCAGTGAACCGAAAAAAACTAACCCAAAATCGGCATGTGAATAATCTCGCATTAAAGCAATGAAGCGTCTATCACCGCCATTTATTATGTAAATCGCGGGTTGACAAATGAATCATTTTACTTGGGTGTGGTTGGATTATGTTCGACAATTTCATTGGAAGTCGATAAATATGATCACTTCCTCGAACAAAAATAAATTTTAAGTACGAAACAAGTTGATATTTTTGGCTTTGTTAGTCACCAAAACTGTATAGTCAATAAAAATTTTTCATTATCATTAATTGCTTTGCTATTCACAAGAACTGTGTAATCAATGAAATTTTTCAACTCAATTCATGAAAGAGTTGGTAGATCTTTAAATTTCCGAGCTATTTTCATGAAAAATTAGCATAACCCTGTAACATACATGACCTTGTCTCGAAGACTCTTCGAACAGAAGATTGAGTAAAATTATGGCCGCTAGCTCTGGTCACCCGCATGAAACTGGAATTTTAAATTTACTCTATAGGTATAAAATATGTTTTGATCGTACTTCAGCGTTCAGTCTATATTTAGTTCACGCGATAACCCAGTGTTATACAAAAATGTAAGTAAAAAATCTTTATCGGGCCATATACCATCTTGACCTGCATGTGTATCCTAAAGAATGTTAGCAATGTCGAAATGCATATAGTGAGTGAATGCAGTGCCGCACATGGAACAATGTGTCTGTCTAGGTGTATAGATGTGAATGACCAACTTTTGAACTTTTATGGTTTTGTGTCAGTTTATGGAAAATATGAGGTTAGAAAACGTGAATGAAGAATTAAGAAATAACAGTACTAATTGAAAATTTTGAATAATATTCGAAAAATGTCGCTCTGGCATTGTGTTAGTGTTTCTGTTTCGTTATATAATCAGTTGACTGTTGTGTTCACTATAATATCGCATTTTTATTAGCCTTGTTTCAACTCGTGGGGCTACATCTGTAACAGAAAAATTATTCGGACATCAATCATAAAATGTGGTTGTTATGCTAGTAACTTTCTTTATTTGTGAACTGTAAATTACTATACTTTATGCTGAAGTGGAGAAGAAATCTAATTTCAAAAATTTCCATTGTATTTCCAGTTATTGAACATAATGTAACAACGAAATAATGTAAAGAAAGAAATATTTTTGGTTGAATTGTGACTTGGTAGACCAATACAATTCTCATTTCTTGAACAGCATTTTTATTTTTCAACAATATGGAGAAATTATACTCATTACCTGAGACAGTAGTGGAATGTGTTATTCAATGCGGAAGAGTAGGAATTCCATTTTCCACCTTAGTTGAATATTTTTCGTTCCTTTCCACTATTATGTGTTGAATGTTTCGCTTAATTCCAGTAAAACAATTGAAAACAACAGTTTTGTTATGCAATCAAAACTATTCAATCTGCATTACTCATTACCTCTTGGCTTTGACTCCTCATATTTCCGAAAATGCAAAAATTGTAATTGGAAAACATCTGTTACTATTATATTATTACATTTTTCTCTGGAAGATTATCGCACTGATCTTTGACGAATTATTTTCAGTCATCGATAATATATTCACAAAGTACCAGTAACAGATTCGTAAAGCAAGCTCAAACAAAACTGATGTTATATTTTGTATGTAGACAGGCAAATGTAAATCACTGCAGCGTCTTTTCATTTTGAACATTTTTGCCAGTTGAAAGAATATATTTTATTCAATATGTAAATGGCATGTATTATATTTAGAAAAATTGAAGTTTTTTCATGATACACACTGTTTCCTGCGAATCAATAAAAATTGTCTCTACATATCTTTCAAAATATATATCAAATCAGCTTTAACTTGATTATATAACATCCACAGGTATTCATGGCGGATAATGAAGCAATCGTAAGGACTTGAGTATGAATTTTTCAGTACATGAATTTCAGTTCAAAGAAGTATCTTTGTAATAATAAATAGGAGTGTACGTTGTTAACAAACTTCTAGAAAACCACAATCCCCAGTACATCAAAGCAAGCAAAAATATCTACACACTGAACGTCAAACACTGATATTTTATTTCAAAATATGTATTTTCTAGTATCTATGTAGGTATGTACTTGATATTGTCACAATTTGATCTCTGGAATTTCATTTCCAACATTAGAATTATTACGATAAGTATTCGTTCAAATTTATTCAAATCTCCCATTTTTTGAATGACGTATTATTAGAAATCCAATATCTAAAGCCTCTGACCTTTGGAAGAATCCTTATCAATAAAGAACTCCTATTCCTGCTCAAAAATCTGTTGGGAAAGGTAAAAAGTTTTTTCGCTGGCAATTAATTTGCAGTGAAAGCAGTGTAAAAAAGTTGAAAGTTCTTTCAATTATCTATTGTAATGATGAACTTGATGCGAGAAAGAAAATATAGTCATTGCCAACCTAGCCAAACAACCATAAAATTGGTTGGGAAATGATTGATTGCTATAGAAAAATTGTCTTTGTTTTGATTTCAGGAAGGTACAAGTGATACTCAGTTTTGTCGTCCTTTTTGCTTTCGTCAAGGCCCTCGAAAATGGTGAAAATTGCAAGTGTTTCGAAGAATTCCATCCTGAGAGGGAAGGCGATCGTTGGATTTGCAGGGGCGATAAGCATTCCAGAATATTCAATTGTGGGGAAGAAACACCGCCATTGTGCAGGTGCTACAATAAAGGAAGAGAAGTGATCTTGGATATCGGAGAGACCAACTGTGCAGATGTCGAGATGCACTATGATTTACTCTATTGCGAGCCAAGAAGCGAGTGGGAGTCATATTACAATGATCATCCCTACAGGAGAATTTTGTACTTCACTCCTAGAAATAAAATTCTTTAATCACGGTTTTTTGTCATTTTTTGTTATCGTGAAGTCGAAAAATGAGTATGAAATATAGAAAATGGTTCATACGTCGACAAAGACGTCATTCCTAATTTGAAATATCAAACGAAAATTCCCAAAGTACAATCAAACAATTTCAAATTACGAACGTTAGACCCAAATCCACTTTTATTGAAGATATACTTCGATATTTTTTTAACTCAATCTGAAATTAAATAAAATTGGTATTGTAGTTCTTGAGTGGAAAAAGTGAATTTCATTTGTGAATTACTTTGGAGGTAGTCACTGTCGACACGTAAGTTGTATATTTTTTAAGTTGCCTGTACTATTTCATTTCATAACAATGTACTATCTCTTTGAAACACAATGTTCTCCAACTTTCGCTATATAAATGAAAGATAACACGACGGTATTTTTTTTTCATTGTTCAAAAGTCATTTTTCGTCAAAAAATTAACAATTTTCAAATCAATCTTTCTAGGAATATACACCTTCCACAATCTGAAAAAAAAAGCACCACGAAAACCTTTATAAAAATGTAGACAGGACAAACTTGTTAGATCTTTCTGGTAAGTAACTGCGTATATTAGTCGAATGATTTATATCAGATTGTGAAAGATGAAAATCTCCAAAAAGATCGATCAAAAACACATTTTGACATTCTTCCAAATACTTGATGTGGTTGTGAAATATTTCAAAGAGTGAAACAAATTTCTATTAAATTTTATTCAAAATACTCATATTTGCTCAATGCTTAACAATATTAAAAAAATATAGTATATACGAAGTCAGTTCGAATGAACTAAACACTGAATAGTTACCGAACGTTGGCAGTTTCTTTGTATGGCATGGGCGACGTGACATGATTTACGAAGTCTAATCATTATTTATATGTGGGAGGTTTTATATGGCAATAACTAGTAAATTTATCAGACCCAATACATTATTCTTTTATTTAGCTGTTCGAATTGACTAAGAGACTATACTCCATAATTCTACCTCCTGATCATAATAATAACAGAAACAGTTACCAAGGAGCGAGTTCAGCAGATATGAAAATTCGTTGCTATCATTTTAGTGTTTCATGTGTACTTCCAAAAAGTTTTCACTGGGGGGTGATGATCTTGTCAAAAACAAAACATTCCAAAACTGAGACCTATGCTAGTTACTTATTAAAATTTATTGTAAAAGATTCATGGTCTTTTTTTTTTCATCACAAATGAAAATATAAAATACATTTACGGTATGAATTCGACTTTATTAGACACAAAATATCACTATCGGATGTATCGAAAAATTATGACTAAATATCAATTTATTGCAATGATCAGCGATATACAGTGTGTTTATTAAAAATGCGGGACTATTCTTTGGACTATTCTGATAGGGCGCTTTGTTTCGAAGATACGGAGCGAAAAAGTATTTCGAAAATAGCAATTTATTTAAAAAATTACGTGTAGGTGATGTTTCTTAATTCACAAGAACTGTTGAAAATAACTACGTCCCGCTGAGATACAAAAATACAATCTTCTCCTCATCGACTTCCGAATTCCAGGATCGTTTTTGATTGCGTTACACCCAGCAACTATCCGATTTCTCAAATCTTCCACATCTTCCACTGGAGTAGTATGAACTGATGACTTTAGGTGGCCCCATAGGAAATAATCGAGGGGATTTAAGTCCGGTGATCGATCCTGGCATGAGTGAGGCCCACCTTGACCATGCCTCGACTTTAAATATTAAACACAGAAAATGAACGTCAAATAGACAAAGTCAATCAGCTTCAACCTATTCGACACATTTATTACTTGGTAGGTCCAGTGTAGTACGCTATACTTTTATTCTGGCTACATTGATAATTTTAAAATTATCAAAAGTGTTATTGTCGAAGTTCTTCTTCGCTCCGTATCTTCGAAACAACGCGCAGTAACAAAAGTCATCAGAAGGCAAAATATCCTTAGAATAGTCCAAGGAATAGTTTCTTGATTTTCTGCCGCATGTTTAATAAACACCCTGTATATATTTTTGTTGACATGTGGCTCATGAAGCCATGACAAATAAGAGGTCACTGAAATACTTCCCAATATTGTTCATTATTGAAAATGAAATTTTCTGTTCCTGAGTAATTAACAGTTTTATATTCATTTAAAAAAATCTGCAAACAGTTCATTCAAATGAATATCCCAATTGTTCATCATTCATAGCCTGGTAATTATGAAGTCTGCTTGAATTTTTTTCCTACGAAATGTTACTGGAAAATTTCCTTGCAAGCACATCTTTTCTATCCGCGAGTTCTGGAATGAATTACAGGTGTCACGTATTTCCTCAAAAACATCTGGTTGGCTCTAAGGAATAACGTTTGCCTGTCTACGGGTTTGAAATATTGTCAAACCCGAATGACGTTTCAACTAACATAAGTTTCCATTGAGATAAGGTACCTCTTCCTCACGACGAGCTGATTTAAGAGTGGCTGAATAACAATTATCCAAACCATTGGATTGGTAATCGTGGTTCCTCAGAATGAACCGCTGCATTACCTGATATCACACCCTTAAAGATTTCTGCAAAGAACTGAGGTTCACGTCACACAACCGCAGTCTACTCCAGGGCTCATGGTTAAATTGGAAGGTACTCCTAACAAAATCACCCCAGAAACATTACATAATCAAATCGTAAAAAAACTTCTTCATCGTCAAAAAGTGGGGTTGACTATTTTAAACATTTACTGGAGTGAACTGGAGTGACCCCAGAATACTTTTTTTTTAATTATGACGTTCATCGTTCGTTCGAATCAAATTGCCAATTACTCAAGAAGGGCTGAACGGCTGAACGGAATTCCGAAAATAATAAAATGTTAAATATAGAATTGAAATATCTATCGAACGAATTATCTCTGGACTCCCAGTCTATTTGAAAACAAATTGTAATTATGACGTTCATCGTTCGTTCGAATCAAATAATCAAACTGCTAATTACTCAAGAAGGGCTGAACGGAATTCCGAAAATAATAAAATGTTAAATGTAAAATTGAAATATCTATCAAACGAATTATCTCTGGACTCCCAGTCTATTTGAAAACAAATTGTAGTGCCATTTTGGCGACAAGTGATTCAACAAATTTTATTTTTTATGAAAGATATCGGAGTTTTTCATCGACCTCTCTGAGGATTTCATATTTCACAATCTGATGAAAAATAGGTATTGTTAATTGGAAAACTCCATTCATATATAATTCATTACATTCACGATTGAATATGTTTACTGTAGATACCCGTTTTTGTATTATGTCTAACCACAAATAGTAGGACGGAAAATACAAATAATTTTTAGGTAGTCAGCAACATGGAAGAATCAAATATTAATCATTTTCTTGTACTGTAAACGTATTATACTTCAAATTTATAGAAGATTCCAGAAAGATAATGATATGAATATTTTGAAAAGGGATAATATAGTTATTGTAAACTTCAAAACAATCGAAACACACTCAATTTGAAAAAAAATCTTTGTTGACAGTATTTCGTGGTGCATTTCATCAGTTCGGAATTCCATTGTATAATATGAAAGAATCTGTAAAAAATCAAAAACATATTAAGCAAAAAACTGAAATTACAATGAAATGAAATACAAGCAACAACCAAAAATTTAAAATAAAAAAGTGAACGGTTGAACACGGGATATTAATTTTAAAAAAATTAAAAAACCATTAACAAGAAATGAAAAATAGAAACTGAAAGATTCCAAACCAAGTTACTACACGACGTTTCGATTATTCGTATCCACAATCGTCTTCGGATGATAATTGGACTTATTCCTCCGAGATCTGACTATTTATAGGTCATTCGATTGCTTTCACCTATCCCCTCTTCCCTCTCGCCGCTTCATCGGTTTTGGCGGGAGTTGATCGTTTGACGGGAGTTGGTCACTGAAACAAGCGAAACAAGTCCAGTTGTCACCTGGAGATGATTGTGGATACTTACAATCGAAACGTCTTGTAGTTACTTGGTTTGGAATCTTTTAATTTTTTATTTTTCATTTCTTGTTAATGATTTTTTCATTTTTTTTTATTTTCATCCCATGTTTATAGTTAAATTTTTATTTTCATTTTTTGATTGTTGCTTGTATTTCATTTCATTGGAATTTAAGTTATTTTGCTTATTATAATTGTTATTTTTCAGCTAATCTTTTTAATTTTTTACAAATCCTTTCAGGGATTTCAAATCGGTTTATATCATATTAGACAATGAAAATTCGAAGTAACGAAATGAGAAAAATATATTGTTGTCTATAACATACTTTGCAATAATTGTTATTTTTATTATATTGGAACAACTTCCAGAACACCATCGACTAGAATAACTACACATAAAAGATATATTAGATTTTTCAGGAATTCTGGTGCATTTGCAAGTTTCGTTCATTTTTCTGGCTCTCCTTCATTATATTTTTATGCTGAAGAAGTCATCGTTCGGAGATGAATGCCTAAAAAATTGTATAAATGGACTAAGTTTGTTTTTCAGAAGCGTATTTTACTGAGAATTCTCTTATCCCATTCAGAACAAAATATCTTTAACTATATAAATGTTGAAGCATACCATTTCGAAAACTTAAAATGAAAATTTATCAAGTGAAATTCAGAATACCAATAATTTTCATAACTTCTCTTCATACAGTCAAAACCTTGAAGTTTCGATTGAAAAGAATTATCCTTATTCTCAACAAAAAACAACAACATTTCAATAAAAAAAATTTATGAGAATTGTTTAAAAGTAACTTTCTTCATGTTGATTTGTTATTTACTTATCATTTATCGATATCCATTGTATCAAATTCAGTATTCAAGGATCAGGTCGCTCATTGCCGGACGGATGGAACTCATAAAATTCTACGGGTATAAGTGATATATATTTTTTAATTCGCCACCTCGAGAAAGGCTTGTTTTTTTCAGTAGCACATCCTGTTTAAATAATTCAAAGACATTGAATGATTTTATGCTCTAGCCTGTTTCCAACATATCATTTTTCTCCGTTGATAGAAGATACTACCTTATTATCTACCTTAGACTTACATTAGTAACACAACTCTCACATCAAAACTGTAACAGCTTTCTCGATGCGAATTTAACCAATCATTTTGGCGTCATCGGGTGATGCGGAAGCAGTATTTGTGTTAGTGACATTGTTGTGAAAAAAAACTCCCAGGGTTTTCAAAAAGGCATGTGCCGCAAAATTCAAAAATTCTGCCTATCGATGTTTCTCGAAAAATTTAAAGATCTCATTAGATAACTGATCCACTGAGTGCCCTATACATGTTACATCTCTGTGAAGGATCAAATCCCAATCCATATATTTAATTCATTTATTTCAACTGTCAAAATGTTTGATGATATACATTTTGAAATATATTTTTCCCCAATTATTTCCATTAATTGAAAGGCAAATATCCAGAATCGAATTGTTTATTTTGATATTCACATACAAAAATGAATGTGCGTATAATTATATCCGATGGCATATTTTCGGAATAAAATGACTAAACAGTATTTATCAATAGCAGCATATCAGTCAAATGGAATATTTTCCATCGCATCTGTAATAATAACATGATAGTTATTCAACATATTTGCATTTGTACAATTAGTACGAAATATAACGATATGGAATTTTTTCATTCAATGATGAGCTGTTTTTTGGGTTCGCCTCGTGTTCTGTGTTTGATCCGCGCAAGGATTATTGTCACAACGTTTCGGAAAAGTATGTCTGGAGTTTTGAACTAGACTAGTTCAAAAAAAATATCATTAAAAATGTCAAAATGATTTAATGAAAGGCATTTTCAATATTTTTTTTATTTTGAAGACGGACCGAGACCGGGACATTTTTTACTCAGAATTTATAAAAACTACGAGAAAGTGACTAATTATACTTTTCGGAAGTTTGTATCATGTAATGACTTTCTGTGAATTTTTCAGTTTGCCTTTATTACATTAGCGGGCAGATACTCTGTTGATCTGAATTTCTCTACTTTCAGAATTGTGGAAGGTTGGAAACCGAGAGAACCTTAACGAACATTGACTTCGACACAGCATTGTGTCTTTCAGTGTTGATCTGGTGTGAGAAAAGTTATCTAGTTAAACCATTCAAAACTGCTGATGCTAAGTTATTCAGTTTTCAACAATGACTTGCAATTTATTTATTTATTTATTCTCAGTGGAATACAAAACGGGACAAACGCAAAAAGAGTATTCTTAAATGATGATGTAAAAATAACAATAAATGATTTGATTGTTATAAATAATATGCAATATCGTGTTATGAACAGTTATTGATCAAGTGCCGTGCAAATTACAATGGTTAGATATGAAAATGGTGATAGTATGAACGTTTGAGACACGTGGTAAAGGTTGCAAAGGAATTAAAAAAAAAATTGATTTCTATTACTTTACTTTGATTCGTTTGGAATGAATATAATCCTCTGGTATTATACAGAGATACATCAATCAAAGGTTGGTTCAATATAGAACTGCTGTCAAAAAATATTTATAATTTTTTATAGGAACTAATATCAGCTTTTTGACGTCATTCCGCCAAAGATATCAGATTGAGTTGTATTTTAATTTGTAATTCTCTATTGATATAGGTGACGAATTTGCTTTGAATAGATTCAACTCTTTCAAAATACAAGATATACAGGAGGTCCCAAATAACTGAAGCAGAACTGAGCTGGCTATTTACATAAGCCATGTAAAGTGTACGAACAGAGTTAGTATTACGGAAGTCGTGACAAGTCCTGATCAGAAATCCAAGAAGTTTGTTGGCTTTTTTGCAATATAGTTAATATGCGAGTCAAATAATAGCTCAGGGTCTTATAATACTCCCAAGTCCTTGACTTCAGATGTTTTCGTTAGTTGTTGTCTGTTTATGTGATATTGCTGGTGGTAAATATTTTTGTTTCTTGTGAATGTAAAGGAGTGGCATTTTTCAAGATTGAGAAATAAAGACTTTTTCTCGCGGAATTTCAGAAAATTATTGATGTCGTTCTGAATGAGGAGTGAATCGTTGTAACATGTCACAGTATGGAATACTTTCAAGCCGCCAGCATACATTAAAGAATCGTAGTAGGAGAAACAACTAGATATATATCGTTAATAAAAATGTTGGCCCCAGGAGAGGCCCCAGATGAGAGCCTTGAGGGACTCCGGAAGTAGTATTGATGAATCTTGAACTGAATTTTTCCAGAGTGACTGCCAGAGTGACCTTTTTGTAACATACGACTGAAACCATCTCAGCAAATCACCGTGTATTCCGATTCCGATTGTAGAGTAAAGTTGCATGATTTATCTTGTCGAATGCCTTACTGAAATCAGTATAGTTGGCATCAACTTGGCAGCCTTTATTTATGCTCTTCAAGAGATATTCAGTAAAGATAAATAAACTGGTTTCAATCGAGCGATATTTTACGAATTCATGCTGTTCATTATCGATTGAGGATCCAACATCAAAGTATATATAGTCACAAATAATTGGTTTGGAAATCAAGCACAGTTTCGATATAGGGCGATAGTTTTCAAAAAATAACTTATTACCCTTTTGAAGATGTGAACTACAAGTGCAGTTTATTAAAAAAAATAGAATATGAGACATTTAAGTGGGTATATGGTCTACGACAGGTGATTTCTGAGGAAGATCCAGTATCTTTCTCAGAATTGTATTTTGAGGAATTTGATAAGGACTGAATGTGAAGCTATTGGTTAATCTATTAGTATCTGGTTGATTCATACCTATTGCCGGGTTAAATGAAGAAGCGAAAAACTCTGAAAAAACGTCACATATCTTCTGTCCGTCTGTTAGAAGTATTTTGTCTGGATTCTTTATAGCATTGATTGTGGAGTGACCGCCCTTTTTCGACTTTACAAGTTGCAGTTTATCATAAGTAATAATAACAAAAATGAATACTTCATCACCACAAATCTGAGAAATTGTGATCTATAGTTTTCAAATAATAACTTATTACCATTTTTGCAGATGGGAACTACAAGTGCAGTTGACTGAATGAAATAAATAGAACATGAGACATTTCATGAGCGCTTTGATTTAAAAAACAATTGGGTAATTGGTCCACGACAGGTGATTTCTGAGGAAGATCCAGAATTTTTCTCAGAATGGTATTTTGAGGAATGTGATGAGGACTGAATGTAAAGTTATCGGTTAATCTATTAATATCCGGTTGATTCATACCTATTGCCAGGTTGAATGGAGAAGCTAAAAACTCTGAAAAAACGTCACATATCTTCTGCACGTCTGTTAAAAGTATTTTGTCTGGATTCTTTATAGCATTGATTGTGATGTGACCGCCCTTTTTCGACTTTACAAGTTGCAGTTTATCATAAGTAATAATAACAAAAATGAATACTTCATCACCACAAATCTGAGAAATTGTGATTTATCTTCATTTTTATGCTGTTTTTTTTTTAATGAAAAAATATTTCTAAGAATTCCATAAATCATAATTCATACTCCCAATGGTGGTGGCGATGGTATCGATATTCAACTAACCACAAATATTCACAACCGGCCAGTATCACTGATGAAGACCTATAGCAAATCAAAACAGCGTAATCTCATTTGGCTCTATTGAGATTAATTTCTTTTATTTTTACTGACAAGCTTTCCAAAAATACTTTCTGAATGTGTTTTCGCTATTCAGCTATTTGTCGAATGTATCTATGACGAAACTAGTTTTATTCTTTGCTTATTCGAAATCTGAATAAAGGAAGCATTCGTGAAAATTTCTTTTTTATTCTGTTACTTATTGGAAAATAATCTGCATGATAAGCGGATATTTGAATCCTTTCTCTAGCAGAAGAGCCAAGTGCCGTTTTCGAATTTTTCAGATATATTCCTAAAAAACTAGTTTCAATTTAAACTCTTGATTGTTTTTAAGAGTAATGGAGTACACATAATCTTCGACACCTGAAAGGATAGAAGTTGATATATGGCTTCTTCAGGTCTGGATTCCTCTTGGCACAATTAACCAAAACAAAATTTGCAATTACCTAGCTGTCTTATGCCAAAAAAGATTCATTTGATAATAATTCAAACCATGTTCGAAACTTTTTTCTCATGATGATCTCCTGTTCTAGGGATTATCAAAATATATAATAATAATAACCAAATTTACATTAAAAATAAATATCGAATAATAATTGGTGAATGTATAAGCAGTTTCAAAAAAAGTCTGGATGTCTTCGGAAAAATTCGTCCCATTCTTTCACATTTTCACAAGGCCACCGCTTCAGCTCTTCTCCTTTCCTGTACCTAGTGCACCAAGTACCTTAAAAAGAGTATGCTACAGTAATCAAAATGTTGATATAAAAATGTTTTTCAAGATATCCATATATATGAGTTTCAAATTGAAATTATGTTTCAATTAGGAAATTTATAGTTTGTTAGTTTTGTTTGTTATTAGAACTAACCCCATGACAATTTTTTCATAAAAAAGTAAGTTAGTGTAGCATGTTTTGAGTAACATTTCATCGTGAGATTCGCTAATTTATCAAGCGCGTTCAACCGTACAGATGTTGCGGTTTTGTAAACTGGCCAGTGAAAATCAACAATGAAGTATTTCTAGAATACGTTATGAATTTCGTCCGAGTATCGGCCGATAATATTAGATATTATTTCTTGTTGAATGTCGGATATTCTGACTTTCATTTCCTGGAAAGAGTGGTGATAACAACAAATTATTTTTCACTGTATAATAGAAAAGTATTCAAGTATTATAGCTGGAAAAGTGAAATAGCAACTTTTTTTTCAAGCATTGGGTGAGTTTGGTCTATCACTGGTAGATATTATGAAATGTTGCTCGAAACTCGAAAATATTGTTAATGAGGTCTACAGATAATAATGTTTGGTTTCTTCATCCTTTACATACAGCCTCTTGAAGACGACGTATGTAACTTGTTTTTCCCAGTATATAAACATATGAAGTCTATTTAGATCCAACATCACCAACGCATATAATAATCGAAATCAAGCAGCTATTTACATTATTAAATTATAGAAGATGAAAATGGGAAAAATCTCAATAAAGTAGTTGATAATTTGATTCCATGGAAATGCATATTTTTATTTCATTCGAATAAACGGAATGAGTTTTCATTTGAGTTTCAAAAATCTTAACTTTCTCAGAATGATGTTTGTTGTTATAAAAAAAAACAACTCAAACAAAACGTATGTTAGGAAGAACTGGGGATCTACAACTTTTTTCTTGTGATTTCAACTTTTTATTGAGACCTGAAAACTTGGTATCTCTAAAAAAATCGGGATATAATAAACAAATTTTAAGTTTTTCCATGGTTTCATACCGATGAACTAACCGATACGTACCTGTTCGATCTTTCAGAATACTGCTAACACGTCCAGAACATTTACATTTTGGCGCGACGGCCATATTGCAAGGCATGATATGGAACTGGTCTGTAGCAACGCATTGGGCACCGTTCTGGTGATATTCAGCTCTGTATCCGTCCCAGCACGTACAAGTCAATGTTCTACCATCACTTATTGCAATGCAAGGAGCCACTATCAGTAATGTGAGCCAGAACCTGAAAGGTGAAATTTTTCACTGAAAATTTTCAATAATAATCAAATATATATGAAGAAAAAGGTCGGTAAATTGAAAATGATAGTGAATTCACGAAGTACTTTCTCGAAATCTCTCATGGCTCAAGGTGATTTCAAAATATTTTCAGAAATAATTTAATATTCCTCATTCAAATACAAAATAAGTCGTAATCCACTCATGGTGTTGCTTGATATGTTGAATCAGATTATTCTTATATCTTTTCCAAAACTTTACTCTTTTCGAAATGAACCTTTTTCAAATTTGGTTCTTAATTCCACTTTCTCTTTATTAAAGAAGAAAGTAATACAAATCATGAAACAACAACAAAAATTAATTGGCGCTCTGGGGCGACTTCATCGATTCCAGTGGCACATTTGCTCTTACAGCTGCAGGAAAACCCGGTAAAACCTGAAGTACCACATCGTCTGAAGATCTTGATCTGCCAATATCCTCTCTTCCATAAAACAAAATGTAGGGTGTCTCCAGAGGCTCCAATAAATTCAAGATATCGCCATGTCTTGAATTCATTTGTCTTTGATAGATATGGGACAGAGAAAAAAACTAACGAATTGTCGAAATTCAATATACAATTTCCTGAAATTCTATACAGATCATTTTACCAAATGTTCATTCTCATCACTGGAGAGGGTGAAATGATATTTTCTCTACTCTCGAAATATAAGATTATACTAGTTTGTTTTCAAGTGGCAGAAATTTTGGACAAACTGATGCAGAGGGATGCCAATTTCAATCCGCCAAGGGATCACTATTATTGAAACTACTACCAGCAGAGCCTGAGCAGCAATTCATTCGTGTAAGTTTACCTATGGTGAATGTTTCTGTTGAACCAACCATTATTGGTAAATTTCGATTGGCCCTTCCATATAATTTATTTGCAAATATTACCAACTTTTATATTTCTACGTCATAACCATCTCGCAAATCGCACTCTCTTTCCGTAATAACTTTTAGATTGATTAACTTTGCATAGACTGCAGCATTTGTATTTGTTTTTTCCTGAAATATGTCTGGTAGGTAAATTTTCAGTTCCTGGGCAATTTCTAGTGAAGAACAAACTTCATTGGGAATATTTCTGTAAGTGACTTATCCTAAATTGAAAACCAAAAGTTTTTTTTATTTGTTAATTTTGTAGGTAATATTTCCTTAACCAAATATCAAATTTGTCAAATGCACCATATTCTCTCAAATTCCTTTCTCACCGTCTAGATATTTGAATGTTCGAAATACGACCTATCGGGCCAAAATATTATTACTATTTGATTTTGTATAAGTGAATAATATATCAGTCCTTCGTCATTTGTATACATCTCTGATATGTAACCAAGTACATAAGCATCTGACAGTTCCTACAGATCGGATAGACATCAACAATAACAAGCGAAGCTTACGCTTTTAAAAATGATAAATGAAGTGATACTTTTTAATTGTAACAAATTACACAACAATCGTTGTGTGATTGAGAAATATAACAATATTCCGTTGAATACGGTATGGAGAAATCAAAACAATTGACGAAAAAGCTAAGGATGGGTCCGTATTTGGAAAAAAAAGTTGAGGGTGGCCGTATTGACATGAAACGTTTCATTGAAGATTCATTGTTGTATCGTTATAGATATAGATTCAGATACAAATAAAACTTTTTTTAATTTTTTTATGTTCTGAAATAACAATTACATCCACAAAAAAACAAAAACCAAATTTTCTTTGACCTTTGTACTGTTCTCCACGATAGTTAACTTTTTTCCATTCAATCGTTTCCATATCTGAAGACCTTCGCTTTTCTCAGGTCGAATGGGCTGAAGTCGGAAACTGAGGGGTTCATCATGCGCTGCACTTGTCGGCATGTCCAGCATATGCGGCTTAGCCTGTATCCATCGAGATAACATGCTTCCAAAAAGGTAATTTTTCACCACTTGCAACACTTTTGCGGTATCGACGAACCACCGGTGTAGCCCTGAGCTCTGAGGAAAGTTGATTTCGTTGTGGGAATCAAAAAGTGCCGAATTTATTGGATGTATTCATTCCTCATTTTCAGGATAATGAGCCTGATGTAGTTCTTCTAGACCATCAGAGCAAGACAATATTCGTCGTGAAGTTTTTAGTTTCGGCTGGCACAAATATCGTCTTAAAATATGAGGAAAAAGAATTAAATATGGAGATTTTTTCTTCGAACTCCACATGGTCTATCCAGACCACTCTGTTATAATGGTTATTCCCTACTATCGAATCTCATGATCATGCCGCCTTCCCCACATAGACAGAAATTTAGGCCGAACAAATGCAGAAGGCTGTCATTCTTGCCTTATATGTACTTAGAGTACATGAGTCCCGAACCTAGGAATCACTCACCATAGGTGAGTAATACAGTAGAGTAATACAACCAGTAGGCTCTCTTACCACGTGATCCGCTCGAGTTACCGGGGACTTTCAACCGCTCTTAGGATGAGAATCTCAGTCAACGCGTTCAGTGCTGTAGTATAGAAGGGTTCGACGGTACCACGGGCATCGGATTCGTTATAATAAACGATTGGGAATTGATATTGTATTTAGTTTATTCGCTGTTGTTATTATTGTTTTTAGTTTTTGTAGTTGGTTATAAATAACTCACCACAAAATCTTCTATAATATCCTCAAATTTCTTTTTTATATGAGCGCATGCCTATGGTAAAAGAACGAAATTGGCTCCGCACTTCGATTCGAGATCAACGAAAACTTTGTGAATTTATGAATGAAAGTAGTGGAAGTAAACTTACTGGTTGGTTTTTATTACGGCAAAAAATGATGATTATTATAATATCAGTAATGATAAAGAAATAATTTCATTAAGCAAACTACAAAAACAGTATTTTCTGCCCAGAGCAAAGTTCAGCTTGAAGCTACTCTTACACTCAGCCCCATTTTTTATATTTGAATAGACTGTATAGAAAATAGTTTTCTGTGAATTTATTCCCGAATCCCCCTCTTCAGACCTATAATGACGGGACTATAAAAGAAGGGAAAATCGTCATGGTGTTTCATAATGAATTTCAACAGATAATAACGTGTTTCAGTCATCGCATGTTCTGAACACTAAAAAATGAGGGGATTTATAAGTAAAGGCGAGTGCATCTTGATATTTTTTAGGTATGTAACAATCCAAAAACTGAAAAATGAAAGCTGAATCTATGGGAAATCAAGGTACTGAAGTGAAATAAAGGACAAACTGATAAGTTCATCCTGAAAATTTACCGGCTGTTTGAAGGTGATTGAGAATGTTTCTTGATAAATTTCATTATTTCGGACTTCCATTATCTGATATTATATAAAATGATTTGAAATCCCTGAAAGAACTAATAAACAGAAGAATAAAAAAAGGGCATCTGAAAATAAAAATTATATCAAGCAAAATATAAACTGCTTAATATAAACTACCGGATAATTTTAAGAATAGACTCAAGTTTTCTAAAAAGTTAAACATCTATCTAAAACTATATATAGAAATGTCTTTTTCACAATTGATTCGTAGGCAATATTTGTGAATATGACTAGTTTTTGACTAATTGGACTGACTCTTCAGTGATTTATACTATGCAGTAACTTTTCCTATCGAAATTTTCAGTTTGCTCTTTTTTTACACTTCAACAGATTCTCTACTTTTCTCTATTTTTCAGATTATAGAAAGTTATAAACACAAAAAACAGTAAGAATCATTGATTTTCCTACAACAAATGGTTTGCAAAGAAAGGTTGGTGTCATTCAAGCACAAAAAGCAATTGCACTCGAATATTGAATGTTTCCTCTTTTGCAGTGTTCGATTCGTAAAATCTCAATATTGAAACATTGCATTAAGGACTTCTGTCATAAAAATCACACCTTCACTTTTTCACGAAATGGCACTACTCACATTTTCGACATTCAACTTTTCATGCACGTAAATCCTCTCAAATCTCAACCCGCAGAAATTCCAAATTCTCAATGCATCGACTCGAACACGTTTAGCGTACGAACTGAAGACATTCCAGTTGTCATCAAGCAGATGTCTTCGAGAGAACAGTTACCGCGGAACGTTAGTTGTGCCAATAAAACAATCTCGATTTGAAATCTGCACGATCTCTCTCCTCGACAATGAACCTTTTATGAAAACAAATAGCATAGAGGTTCATGCGTTACAGGGTGATGCATTTGCGTTGGGGGATATACTTTATTATAGGTAGTAATACAGGCCCGTATACTGGGCGTGATTACTCCGTAAACACTTTGGATTTTCGTTTTCATCAATCCAATATATGAAAATATTTGATCCCCATATTCAAATATACCCGATCCAAAATAGACAAGAGTTACTGGTAAGAGATATATAGGGTGTTAAAACGAAAACTTGACCTTCCCTGTAAGTCAGAAACAGACGTGTGATCTGAAATTTCAAAGAACACGTCAAGTTTTATTTATAGGGGGTCAGCAACTACCCCTCCTATTTTTTTCAATAGCATGTCGGATCGAGTGACACATCATTTGGAAAGTCTTTTGTCCCTGTATCTCCTTTGTATTTTTTTTTTGAAATTGGTTCATTCGTTATTGAGAAATTAAATATTGAACGTTTTATTTAAGTGGAAAAGAAATCAACGGATACATTGCTCGAAATGACCTCCACGTAGTTCCATACAATAATACAGGCTACCTTCGAAAAGATAGAACAAAAGAACAAATTATCTATATTTCGTTTCTAATTGGAGATATCGATATAATTTATTTAAAAAAGTTTCTTAGAAATCAGTTTTCACGCTACATACCAAACTTCAACCTAAAATTCGAAATTCTAATTGTTTATGTTATTTTCATTTTCAAATCCAATTTTGAATTATTGGTTCCGAATGAGAAGCTACAGAACTCATAAAATAGTCAAAATCAATGAAATGAATGTATTTATAAAGAATATTGGGTTTTTCATTTTTATTCCTACATTATAACGAATTTATTATTTTCGTAGCTTCATATTTACGATTGACGTTAATTGAAAATTAGACTTTGATATGAATTTTGCGTTGAAATTTGGTATGTAGGGTCAAAATGACTTATTTCGGTGTCATCAACTTGAAGCAATTTGTCCATTTCGCATAAACGCAGTTGGCTGTGTTCAAGGCCGTTATTCGGGCTGAGTTTTGCAAAAAGTCTGGCCCATGAAGGTCTATGCTCGTGCCAAAAATCAATAATCCGTTTTCAAAAATGACTAAAATACAGGGGCGTCTTCATCTCAAGTGTGTCACACTAACTGTTACACTGTATACCATAAATGAATGGTAATCAAAATCACTATGAATTCATAACGAAATTGTCAGAACAAAAGTAATGATAATCAAAAGAGTTGATATGATAAAGATAATTGTCACTACTAACTGTTTAACGTGAATCAATTTAAGTTTTTTGACTGAAGAAAACCATATATAGCTACAATATATATTGTTACCATTGAAGTCGACAACAATATGGTGATTTTTCATTGATAGAACCACAAGATATTGAACTATGAAGGTTGCTTCGTGTTAGGTCAAAAATAACATTAACAATTACGTTAGTCAGTAAATGACATCCAAAAAGAGTTTGAGATGAATTCATAAATTTCTTCTTCATCAGAGTGAAGGGACTCTACAACCTTGGTGAATATCAATTGAGAGAAAATCATTCAATAATTCAGTTCTAGAGAAAAAAATCAGCAGACCTAGTTCTTAAAAATTATCAAGAAATTTTTTTGACATTCATTCGGTCTATTCTGAATGTTCCAGTACCAGAAGAACAAGTTTTTCGAAAGTAGCTTTCAAAAACACCAACTTATTTAAAAAAATTTCTATATCTAGATTAATCGATAACTTCAATACATTTTGTTCAGTTACTTTTCATATGTCATTATTCTCATTAGGACGCGAAACGAAATGTGAATGCTTTCATCAACCCTTTTGGAAGACTTCATACATGTGTAGAAATGAATTGAAAATATTTTCCACCAAGGATTTTGTTTTATAGGTATCACTGTTGATGATTGACTGCTGAAACATTCGATGTAGTATAATTTATTCTGTGATATTAGTCTGTTGCAGTTTCACGAATATCCGTATCTTTTTTCTAGACGAGTAGCAAAGTACGATTCATTTTCAAGGAGCTGGAAGGTGAAAACGGCCAAAAAAAAAGATCGATAAAAAACCTTGATTTTCTCTACAAAAAATAACTTCCGTTTACTGACTTTGCACATTTCATTTCACCAAGAGCAGTAAATATCAGAAATACGCGACGCGACGTACTGTGGCTGCTCATCGTTTTGAGGTTCAACTCTGTATACCTCAAACTTCACTGTTCAAGAACTCTTTCATTTGGAAAACTGCGTTTATGTGGAATGAACTTCCTGAGAACGTTTTTCCAAATGGATATAATCTTCAGCGATTCAAATCCAATGTGAATCGCTACTTTCGCATAGGCACCGATCTTAGAGCACTTTGAGGATTCTCCTGTAGTGCTTGTGTTTTTTCCTTTCTAAAAGTGATACGAATGTTTTATAATTGAGTAGAGTTACTTGACATATTTATATATACACACCCATATTTCTTCTATTTGTTGATGATCAATAACTAATAACGTATCTGAATACTGTTTTCATATTCTAATGATATAGTAATTAATATTCCAAACTGTGTAAATTAAAAGTTTCTATCTGTGTGTTTCCCAAATTCAGTGAATGAATAAAAGATGTTTTTTTCACTCGAGGAACCATCAATATATCATTCCCATTAGATTTTTTGCACAAAATATGCGCACAAAAAATATTTCGTCAATGAGATACGATGAAGAATGAAGAAAGAGCTAAGCCAATTGATTGAAAAATGGTTCCAATTTTCTGAATGTGCAAATACTTCAGAGCATTGTACAAACTACAAAAACATTTCTGTTGGACAAGTGGTATAAATACTTACTATATAGGAATTATTTGATATTTCATAAGTCAGCGTTTTGTTTTCATTGCTATCCTTCAGGCTTTCATTATAGTGACTATTGTCATCATACATTTTTGAATTGTTTCATCAGTAGTTTCATTTGATTCATGATTATTTTTGATATTATCTAATTATCGATTTTCTTTGTTACAGGTACGTAAATTATAGAGTTGCTGAGCACATTCCCAATCCCAAAGCACAGGTAACCATTTAGGAAACTTCAACTACTGTATATAGTTCTTTCCAGAAGAAACTATCATAAACAGGTGTTTCGCAAAGTTCGGACCTTATTTACCGTTACACGTAATTTACAAATAGGAAGAGGCAGTAAACTTTAACAAAAAACCACCTAAAACTTTTGTGTGGTTTCTCTGTTGGAAGGGTTTTATTTTCACTGTTGGTATTCACGCCGTTGTAGTTTCGGTTTTACGATGCTAGTAACGTTCCAGAATTATACGAGTTTATTCTCTTTCCATAAAAATCAATGAATGGGAATTCATTGTGTCAATAGAATGGAATTATTTATTTTCACTCCAACAGCTTACATGATGATCACTGCTACCAAACTAGACTGTAATGATAACAAACATTTTAAGATGGTCCTGTCACATTTCATGACAATAATGCAAAAGCGGCTTACTATGATGAGACGCCTATCGATTGACGAGGGCAATTAACAATATTTTTCTGAGAATCTATAGATATGTGAAGTACTGAGTACTAAGTATCGAAAGAACTTCGACAGGTTAGTGACTTTATGGAGGGAAAGAGTCACAGAGTTGAACTGAAAATCCATAATTTTTTTCTCGGCCACGAATATTCATTATCGGGGCAACACAAATAGTTCAAAGATTGATTCCCATAGTTCCACTGCTGCATAAATGCAAAGATGTCGCAATACCAACAAACAAATTAATTGAGTGATAAAATAAAGTTGTTGAGTAGAGTAATTGAGTTATTGTCTCATCAACTTTGGTAACTGTAAAGGAATAAACGAATTACTAATAGCTCAAAAAAAGATAGTGAGAACAATGTGTTTCAGAAAATATGATGACTCATGTAGGGAGCTGTTTACCGATTTCGATATACTAACCGTTATTTCACTATATATATTCAACTGTGTCGTTTATGTCAAAACTCAAATCGACAAATTTGAATCGAGAGTTAATATTCGGCTCTCCACAGAGTATACGTTAAGATCCAAATATAATTTTATAGTTCCCCACCATAAATTGACGAAAGCAGCAAAGGGCCCTCTAATTATGCCCATCACGTTATTCAACAAACTATCTTCCTTGAACAGCTATCAAACCTGCTTTTCTTAAAAAAATGTTAAAAACTGTTACATGACGATATATTTTATTTCCTCAATGAATACTTCCAGGCTGATTTGGAAATATTAATCACTTGATTGCAACAGTTTCGACTGTACTATTTTCAATTGTCATATTTTCAGTTTTATTTTCAATTTTATATCATTATATATCCATATTTTCAACTTCCATATTGAGTAGTATTATTATTCAAACTCAACTAGGCACTCCTCAAACTTGTTTGAGTTTGAGGAGTGCCTAGAAGATGACAGTACTACCAACTGTCGAAAGCGCTCGCAGATAATTAATAGAAGATATAAAGCTTCAAATCCTTTTTGTGAAATTTAATATTGAAATACTGAAAATAAAGGAAAATTAGTTGCCCCCCTTTTTTGAGTGTTTTGTCCACGAATTATTTCATTATTGATTTGTATCAT